TAATCGTTATCTTCACGTATAACTAGTAGAAAATAAGCAGAAGAAGCTGTATGAGCACCATTTATGAGAAAAGTTTAAATTAGGTGTTAATTTGTACTTTTAAATTTATATCGGACAATCTCTAGATATCTTAATGCTGTGTTCGTGTGTGTGCAATATTTGAGCAGAAATTGGTGTTCAAAAACTAACACTGGTGTTGGCGTCTTCTTATCGTTTGTCACAAATTCACAGAAATTAATAAAGTTTGACCAGTTTGTTGCTTCCATTGTCAAATATCGGTTGAGTCAGGGAATTCCGCCAACTTACCATGGAACTTTGAATGGAGACCTGGGTAGATCGATAGAGTCTATAAGGTTATTTACAAATATAGATAGCAAAACTGCAACCTGCAACTTATGAGCAGGTAATGTTTGGAGTGAAGGGTGGAGGTTTGGTGGTGAGCTGTGAAGCATAAGCGAGGAATCGCATACGTCGAATCGAGTCGTCGAACGTCGAACCTTACCACTGAACCACCACGATGCGATTCCTCGCTTATGCTTCACAGCTCACCACCAAGCCTCCACCCTACTGCACCATTACAAACTTTACCTGCTCATAAGTTGCTTGTGAAATGCAGGTTTGCTATCTATATTTGTAAATAACCTTATAGACTCTATCGATCTACCCAGGTCTCCATTCAAAGTTCCATGGTAAGTTGGCGGACTTCCCTAGTCAGTCTAAAAGATAAAATCGTTCCGAACTGCTCTAGATTGAGCGTCAGGTGATACTACGAGATGCGATTGAGGGGAACCGAATTTACCGGTTTCTTCAAAGACCATCTTCCTTGATGATGAACTTTGAACGCACATACTGAGCCTAAACCGACGCATATGGGAACTAGCACATTCACAAGTGACACATTTCTGTCAACGTTTCGCAAGATCTCAGAGTTCTGGGTTACAGGCTCCAGTTCTGTAAGCGATGAAGTCGTTAAGACTAATGAGACCTCAGGGGACCTAGACTACAGCAGCATTACGCTGCGTTTCTGTGAAATTCTTCACTTCGCGCCCCCAACACGGCACATTACGATTGTCTTGTCACATACTCCCTAATAGAGATTACGCACAGAATCCCGATAAAAAGTGCGAAAGGTCCAAAAGCGTGCGAACTTGAGACAGTCACGTAGCTTTTGCGACCACTAATACAGTTCTTTGTGGAATTGAATCCTGCTTTCCGCTCAACATTGGTTTGATGCCTCCACCGACACTCCAGACAAGATCACTCCAGACACCACTGCGAACCCTGCCTACTTGTCAGCGCGGACATAGATTTTCAACACATGACTGACTCCGCCCATTCTTTAAAAGTTTGTTGCGAACTTCGAAATTTCATAACTTTTTCAACTTTAATTTCACATCCACTCTTTGCACAACGAAGATACTCGTAACCGCGCATTCATGCACCGGCAATTCAGGCTCCGCCCCCTTGGCCACGCCCACTTGCTTTTTGCGGAATTTTGATATTTTTTCAAAATTTTTGCATTTTTGGACTGCTCCACGAAGCCCCGCCCACTGTGAGAGGCTCCGCCCACTTCGGAGAAGCCCCGCCCACTTTTCAAAAATGGTGCAAATCGGCAGTATAGAGCCATGGCTTGCATGGCAAGGGTATTGCTGGTCATTAGGAACAAACTTTGCCTGATTTATTTGTTCCGAGTGACGGACGAGACCCTAGCATGCAAGCCAAGGCTCTATACTGCCGATTTGCACCATTTCTGAAAAGTGGGCGGGGCTTCTCCGAAGTCGGAAGATCGGAAGAGCGG